AATGAGAGTATATATATATATATATATGACATATATATATATAAACATACATAGTTTGATTTTGAAAAGGTCAATAACGACCTTTAGTTATTCACGTACGTATCTTTTGTTATTAACTATCATATTAGTCATTCACGTACATAATCTTGTAGAGTGTAGTCATAGTTACGCGTATCTGTGTATGAAACGAATTCATTATTTTATTTAACATAAATCAGTGTATTTTTATGATACGTTCACATTATATATAAAAAAAAAGTGATTAATCAAGTAAAGAAGAATCAAAAGAATTTAATCAAGAATTTTAGCAACATTTTATATTAAAAGTTCCTCTTTTTTCTTTTTTTTTTTTTGCAGTGAGTCAAATTATTATTAAAATTATTTTCAATAAATTAATTTTATTTAACATCAAAATCATATCATTTACAAATTAACATTATCAATAAGAAATTTCATCATTAATTTAATTCTAAGATAAAAAAAGAAATATAATAATAAAAAATTACATAAAACCTTCATGTAACACGTGGTATATATCTATATATATATCTACCTACGTACACATATATAAAACCGTGATAAAATCAACCGGAAAAGTTATAAGCAATCATTAAATAAAAAAACAAAGAGTACATATATATAATAATAATAATACATAAATATCTATAGAAATCCCATGAATAATAAAAAAAATTCTTCCATACATTCCTACATACATAAATACATACAAACATATACATAAATCTAGATACATGTGTTGTAGTAGTAGTAGTAGTAGTAGTAGTAGTATCAGAAATCAGTGAGATGGCAAAAGTTCGAAGGTTGAAAAAAGTCGCGGAACGGAGGCGACACGCGTGCGTGCACACGCGGTACCTCCGTCCACGATCGCGTGCGGGTATTTATACGGACCACGGAAATCGGGGCCGTGGGAAACAACCACCATACCACCATTACACTACCATCACCACACAACTCTGACATAACAGAGGACTTTATGTAGTATTATTCTCTTGGCACGAGCTGTTCAACAGTATGTGTGTGTGTATATATATATATATCTGTGTGTATGTGTAAGAGAGAGAAAGAGAGAGATTTTACGACGCGACACGTGCTTCTTTTCTTTCGATTGGCGAAAGTTAAAATGATTCGATCATTTCCTCTTTCATTTTATCTCTCACTCTCTCATACACACATACACACAAACACACTCATGTGTATATTCATTTCTTCTCTCTTTCTCTCTCTCACTCTCTCATACACACAAATACACTCATGTGTATATTCATTTCTCTCTCTCTCTCTCTCTCACTCTCTCATACACACAAACACATTCATGTGTATATTCATTTCTTCTCTCTCTCTCTCTCTCACTCTCTCATTATCTCTTATATACACACATACGAGTACGTACACTTATTCTCTCTTATGCACACATATGTACACTCATTTTGTCTTATACTCACACATATAATCATTTTCTCACTTTTTCTTACTCTTTCTTATACATACACACAGATACACATATTCATTTTCTCTCTTTCACTTTTTCTTTCTCTCTCACACTCATATGCATATACTCATTCTTTCTCTTTCAATCTTTCATTCTATTTCTCTCTCATACACACATTAATTCTCTCTCTTTTATTCTCTCTTTTACTCTCTCTCTCTCTCTCTCTCTCTTACGCATACATACTCATAATCTCTCTTTCACACATATACACTTATTTTCTCTCTCTCATTCTTTCTTTTTTAATTTTTAACTATATTTTTTCTTTCTTACTCTCTCCTACTTTTCTCTCTCACTTTCATACATATACACACATATATATTCATTCTTTCTCTCTCGTACTCTTTAAATTATTTTTTTTCTTTCTTTCTCATTCTCTTTCACTCTCTCTCTCTCTCTCTCTCTCTTACATATACATACACATATGTCCACTTATTTTTTGTCTCTCATACTCTCAAATTCTGTTTTTTTATTTTCAACTATATCTCTTTCTCTTTCTCTTTCTTTTTTTATTTTTTTTGTTTTGTTTTGTTTTTATTTTCTCTTTTTGTTTATCGTTTTGGTATACCTATATTTGGTGAACAGTTGTAATAAGAGACGAGTTTTAACAATAAATACGAGATCGTTTAAATTATTATGTACGATATTATTTCTTATGTATATTATTTAAATTGTATACTATACTACGTGTATGTATATATGTATATATGTGTGTACTATTTTTCTCTCTTTCTTTATTTCATTATTTTATTTTCTTTTTCTTTTTTTTTTTTTTTTATTTCATGTTATTATTTCGTGTGAAAAATTGATTGAATAATTTAACACGTAAGCAAAACGAAATACGTGCATGTGTGATTATTACCATGGTAAATAATAAAATCATGTAACTTTCTTTCTCTCTTTCTCTCTCTGAGTCTCTCTCTCTCTCTTTCTCTCTCTGAGTCTCTCTCTCTCTCTCTCTCTCTCTTTCGAATGATTCTTTTTAATGATTATTATAACCTGTTTCGATAAATTTTTATCAGAAGATATTTCAATTGTTTTTTCCTGAAATTATTTTTACAGAAATTCTTATTAAAAATATTCTAATTTTTTTTTAACATTGATTAAAACTCTGATCAGAGATGATTGTTTATAATAATTGATAGATTTAAATCGAGTATTAGAAGTAAATTTGATTTTTAATATCTTTTTTGAATTAAACGATTATTTGGATTTAGTTAAATAACAAATTTAATGTAATATTAATTTAATGTTTTTTTTTTTTTTTTTAATTTAACAAATAATTGTGTGTGTTTATTCTTTTTAAAAAAGTATTAAATTTAAATGAAATTAATTTGATAAATTAATACTTTGCTCTTTCAAGATTGTTGTGGATGTATTTAATACAGGGTTGTACGAAGTATTGCCTACCCTACAGGCTCAAGATGCAACCCTTGTTAAATTATATATTAATTTCTTTTTTCTTTTATTTTTACCAATATTATTTATAAATTATTTCTATACCCATTCTCCTTAAAAATTCTTTATTTTTCTTATATATATATATATATAATAATAATAATAATATAATGTAATAATATATATTAAAAAATATATATGATATTAAAATATATTTGAAAATAATATTTTAATATAATTATATAAAATAATATATTGGAATAATAATTTATTTTTTAATATATTCTACAAATATATTTATAATATAATATATAATAATTTTACAATTTAATATAATATATTAAAAAAAAAAAAATGAATATATAATATTAAATTAATATAAATGATATTTTAAAAATATATTATTATAATAATTATATTGTTACAATTATTTTTGTATAATTGCGTATTAATTTTGTTTTTTATTTTTAGACAATTTTTCTTTATATAACTTGTTACTGTATACAACTTTTTGATTTGTTCAAAATATCTTAATCGTTTGATTGAGCCATAAGGTTTAGTTAGAACTACCCCTTTTCCACTCCCACCCTTTAGAATATTTCCTGTTATACTAACCGTAAAATAAATACTATATATATGTATATATTGAATTAACCCTATCTAAAAGATGATATCTCCCCTTTACCCTTACTTACAAAAATATTCACCCCTTACTTTTATATTCTATTATCATTGGATACATACGTATGACCATCGGACACCTTGGCGATCTTTTGCTGTTTCATTTTTTTCTCGTCATAGATGAGGGGTAGTTTCAACCCCTCCTATCTAACTTATGGCATGGAAAATCATGTGAATTCACGCACTGGTTCGTTCATTCATTCTTTACTATAACTTGAACATGTGTGGTATCCATATGTGACATACACGTGTCCACAATTTTTGGCTATTATTTAATCAACGAATTCACCTTCATGAGAATTGCAATTTTTTTTTTTATTATAATTATAATAATACAAATCTCAATTTTTTATTTATTAACTTAATAAATTAAATATGTTGATATATATATATATGTATTTTGTTTTTTTTTTGTTAAAACCATTCGCAGAAGAGTCAAAGTAATTTTTTATCTCTTCTTTGAATATTTTGTTATATTTTAATTTTTTTTTTTAATTTAATTTATAAAACATTGATTATTTATAAATACTATTTATATTATATTAATTTATTGTAGATAAATATATTATTTATATTAGGGTAATAAGGTACAAGGAAGAAAGGTTTTTTCAAATGATAAATCAAATGATTTTGTTTTACAATATTGTTTTTATTTTTTTTATTAAAAATACTTGGAAGACATATAGGAAATTTCCGTTGAATTATAACGGAATACTATTTTTAGTATTATAGTCAATATCACAATATGGATATATGCTATAGATTATAAATATCTATATATATATATAATATATATCTAATATATTCTCATAGGTACAGATATTATCACAAATGCGATTGATATTATCGCAATATAAAAAAAAAAAAATAAAATAAAATAATATAATAAAAATTACAATACGTGTAGGTATGTAAAAACCTTAAACAAATAATTTCTTATCTCTCTTTATCATCGAATCTTTTTAAAATTTCGAAAAAGAGAGAGGTCACATTTATCGTAGTAACTTAAATCTAAGAATACACAAATTGATAAAGTCTTAGTTTTTGTCTCGATATAAATTAATAATATTATAATTCTAATTATTATTTAAACTATTGATCACAGTTTCGATGTATCTTATCTTACAATGTCTATTTTTTGTTTAATTATTTTTTGTTTGTTAATTTATCAAACTGAAGCACACGATAATCTCATAACTTTGTCAATAATTCCATTGAGATGATTCAAATCAACCAAATAATAATAATAATAATAATAATAATAATGATAATAATAATAATAATAATCAAAAGTACCATCAATAATTCTAATTATAGAGATCATCGTTAAATAAATGATTAATAAATAATAATAATTGATCAGGATGATTCGTTAGTTTGTTAAAATTAAAATTAAAATTAAAATGGTCGTCTCTCACGCAACTTGCATTTCAGGTGTTTGATGTTGCGAAAATGCTCGTTCCTTGTAGCAAAGATCACTGTCAGCAAGTGTTAGGGTTGTCCAATAGAAATCACCCGCGTGGGTGTGTGCAAAGTGTACAGGTACGTAACACTGACCAGGAACAACCGGTACAACTGTCATTTGACCGTCAAGACAAACGGTAATGGCAGCACCCTCCTCAGCATCTTCAAGTTCAGCCAATAATCTTCTTTCCAAGGCTTCATTAGCGTTGTTTTGATTGTCAACTTCCTCGGTGAAGATGTCTGATGGTGTCATGGCAATTTTTGAACATTTATTATATTTTCCTTTACTTGTTTTCTTCTTTAACAAACGTAACAATGGTTTTAACATTCTTCTCATTGTTTTACTATTGTTACTTGTTTTGTTATTATTGTTGTTATTGTTGTTGTTGTTGTTGATATTGCCAGACATCTTTAGGTTGTACAAGTTATCATTTAACTCGTTCTCGTATTCGAACACGTGGCTCATAGTGGCGGCAGCCATTTTCTTTAATTTCTTCTTATTTTTCACTCTTCTTCTTCTTATTATTATTATTTTTCTTCCACAACGGAACAACCGCGCACTTAACCGGTTTTCCGTTCAAAACTCTTGTCGATTACGCGAGAAGAAGATTTATTTAATATTATATATATATAATATTAATTATATATATATATATGTATATGTTTTATTCGAAAACGTGGAAAACGTATCGATAATTCAATGTTTATGTTTTTGTTTTTGTTGTTGTGTTATGTTTTACGCTAACTTCTCAATTTCGTTTAAGAGATGATATTGAACGAAGAGCTAGTGAGCGAATGATGGTTAAGACGAGCAACCCTGGGCCCTATATAAGCGGTTCAAGCAGGACGGGGTGTTAGAGTGGGGGTAGGGCAGGTGCATTCTGGCTGTGGGAACTTGGAGAATTCGGAGCTTCCCACGTCGGGGTCCACGCCGACCATCTGCCGATGTTCTCTTCTCTTTTCAACCAACACCACTCTCTCTCCTTTCCTCCCTTTCTCTTTACCCTACCTCCCACCCTCGCTCTCCTTTTTTTTTTACTTCGATCAAGGAGTTGGGAGTTTTGGGTGAACCTACTACCATCGGCATAGAGAAAAGTACACTTCTCTAGTGCTCTTCTTTACCCTCCCCCCCACTTCACCCCCCATCCCCATCCCCATCCCCTCTCCTAACACTCAAAGAAAGCGAAAGATATCCCCTAACCACCCCCGTTCTTCCCCTTTTCCCAATCTTACACATTAGTCACCCTCTTGGAACTTTCCTCTTTTCCTCTTTCATTTTGGAAAAGACTTGGTTTCGGATTTCAACCTTAGCCAATAGCTGTTTTGTATTTTCTAAGCTTCCTACTCAAGGTGCAGAGGGTGTATGTATGTGTGTTAAGGGTAAGTAAAAGAGGGTGGATTATGGTGGTTCTCTTTCTATATATCTTTCTATATCTTTTCCTATTTTTTTTTTTTTTTTTATTATTATTCTTTGAGTTAACAGATCGAACAGGATCGTACCTGTTACGACAAGTTCGTGCCTGTCCTTGATGTAATTCAATCGAGTCTAACTCTAATAATCGTAATCTTGCTCTTACTAGTTATGATTAATATTAATTTTTTTTTTTTTTTTTCATTAATAATTGATAAATTAATTTATATGTGGGAATTTGAAGGATGAAGGGTAATTTTTTGTTTAAATGAAAAAAAAAAAAAGAAAAAACAACATGGGTATAAAGTTTCTTATTTATTTGTTTTATTTGTGATTTAGTAATTATGTGCTTGTAATTATAATTATTTTTAATTTAATTAATTTAATTATATATTAGAATTGAGTAATGTTTGTTTTTTTTTTTAATAAAATATATATTTATGAAGTTTCTTATTTATGTATTTTATTTGTATTTTACAATTAGGTATTGTAATTACAATTATTTGTAATACGATACATTACAAACATAAATTTGAAAGATTTCAACACGTGTTAGTCAACGATGCAATTATCTACTATCTTTTAGTATATTAAATTGTAAATTAAGTATAATAATAATAATAATAATAATAATAATAATAATAATAATAATAAAAAAGAAAAAAAATAAATATAATAAGATAATATAATAATAATTATTAATCAATATTAATACGACAAATTATTATTACCCAATATTATTAAATAATTATAATGCAAGATATGAGATCGTGTAAAATTAATTACATTTCTATTAGCTAATTGGAAAAATGATATTTTTCAACAGGTGCCATAACACTTTTTAATCACATTTTGCTAATCGTAAATTACATATAATAATAGTAATAATAAAAACAATAACCCATTCAACTTTACTCCTACTTTTTTTTTCTTGTTTTTTTTTTTTTTTTTTTTTTTTTATATACGTTGTTACATTAATTGACTTTAATAAGAAAACCCCGTGACGGTAATTATTATTATACTTTCCATCGAATTATAGTAGTACAAAATTAATCAAGATAAATTGATCGATTATGATGGACTCACGCAAAGGTGAAGATTAAAGTACATAATACGTAATAAATAAATATCATTTCATGTGAAATTGCAAAAATAAAAAGACAAAAAAAAAATTGCTTATATATACAACACTTGTCAAATTTCATATGATAATCGTGCGGTAAGTTGTAAGTACCGTGTAATCGAATAAACGAAAAGTGAAACGATTATGTGACCCAGTTAAATCGTGAAACATTCAACATTCGACTTCCCAAACAGATTTGCATGGAATTTATTGCTTTTGATGCGTGTGTGAACAAGTGCAAAAAAAAAAAACAAAAAAAAATGATACAAAAAACAACACGAACAAGGAGAAGAAAATAATGGTAGTATAAAAATATGAGATCGGAGAAACTACAAAAAAAAAAAAAAAAAAAAAAAAAAAAAA